CATGGACGAGTCGAGGCGCGGGTTGGAGGCAAAGGACGCCGGCTCGACGCCGCGATGGTGCATGTTGTACGTGACATTCTCCCTCGCGGCCCAGCGCAACAGCGCGTCGCTGGCGCCTCCGAGCATGCGAGAGCCGCGCACCGCGGCCGTCAGGTTGAGGGCTCGCGGCAGCAGCTCGGAGTCGAAGCCGGGCACGATCGGGTCGCCCGGCGCGCGCGGCACAAGCGCGCCCGGCCCTCCGAGTATGTCGACCAGGTACTCGAAGCCGAGACAGGTACCCCAGATCGGAAAGTAGTCGCCCTCGCGGTTGGCGCGCGTGGCGCGCGCAACCATCGCGTCGACCGAACCGTTGCCGACAAAGTCGCCGCCTCCCGGGATCAGGAGGCCGTTGAGCGAGGCAAACAGGCGCTCCAGTGCCTGCGGCTCGTGCGCAAAGAAGCGAGGCAGGACCACGGTGCGCCCGCCCGCCTGCGCCACCCACTTCTCGTAGGCGACATAATAGTCGGGGACCATCGTCGGATAGATGCCGATAAGCGGGGAGTCGGCCATGTGGCGAGAATTTGCCGGCCGGGAGGGTATGGCTGGAAAAAGAAAGAAAGAAGGAAAACAGACAAACCCAGACGAGGGATGGGGGAGGAGGACAGGGTCCCCACCTGCACGAGCAGGATTTTGGAAGGACGATCAGGGGGACAGGTGGGGCTCTCCTGCTCCTGACAAGGGACACGACAGGCTCGCAGCGCGGTGCACGGTGGAATCCCAACTCCACTGGCGGTCTCATCTCAGTCTAGTGACCTGCCTCCAGCTTCCCGCTGGCAGTCTCTCACTACCACAGGCACACTGACACAGGGGTGGCAGGGGCGGCGGCAGGAGTCACCCACATTACTATGCGGGCCTCACTAGAGGTGCGTCCTGTGTCGTGTCCTCGTCCTTGATGTCTTGCGGGGGAAGGGGAATGGGCTTTGTGTCTGTGCATGGCTGGACTTCAGTGGCCGAACGACGAATTGTTTCTTTTTCGCCTTTCCGTGAGCGTTTCTTATCCGCGGCACGGAAACAATGCATGCGCAGAGAGCGGTGGTAGATGGCGAGAGCAGCGTGCGCGCGGGGAGTGGCCAGCAGCGTGGCGACAGCGCTGGCGGCTGCTGGCCCGGGCTTCCAAGCACCAAGGCGGGTGCACCAGGTGGGCACCGGTTGGCACCGCGGCGGCACCTCTCCGCCACAAAGGGGGGGGCACAAAGGAGAGAGTGGCCCCTTTGTGCCCCCCCCCCCTTCCTTGGCGCCTTCTTAAGCGCCTGAGCTCCTCCCAAGGCTGAGCTCCTCCCGCAGCATCTCTGCAGAATGTCCCTTGTAACGTGAGTCGTGAGAGAGTTGTGTTCTTACGCCTTTCAGTCTTTAGGTCGATTTATGTTCTTCCCGCCTCCTGGGTTCGGACTTTTTGCGGGGTATGGTATGGTACGGTCGCGCAACCCACCTCGAGACCATACCCCGCCAAAAGTCCGAACCCAGGAGGGGGGAAGAACATAAATCGACCTAAAGACTGAAAGGCGTGGGAACACAACTCTCTCACGACTCACGTTACAAGGGACATTCTGCAGAGATGCTGCGGGAGGAGCTCAGCCTTGGGAGGAGCTCAGGCGCTTAAGAAGG